TGTCTCCTATTAATACAGAATCTTCTATACCTCTCACAGCTCAAAATGTTCATCCTATGCAAACTAGATCTAAATCTGGGATCTCAAAACCCAAATTATATTCCTCTATCCTTCTCGTTGAGTCTGAACCAAAGAGTGCTAGGCAAGCCTTGAAGGATCCTAAGTGGTTAGCAGCTATGCAACAAGAATATAATGCCTTGATTAACAATAACACATGGACACTTGTTAATCTTCCACAAAACAGGAAAGCTATAGGCTGCAAGTGGGTTTTCAGAATCAAAGAAAATCCTGATGGTACTGTGAATCGGTACAAAGCCAGATTGGTGGCTAAAGGATTCCATCAACAACCAGGGTTTGATTTCAATGAAACGTTCTCTCCTGTTAACCATAAGGCTGATTCTCACTTTGGCTATTACAAACAATTGGGAAATTCATCAATTAGATGTTAATAATGCTTTTTTAAATGGTCTGCTTGATGAAACTGTTTATATGCAGCAACCACCAGGTTTTGAGACTGGTTCCACTATGGTCTGCAAGTTAAACAAAGCCCTATATGGCCTGAAACAAGCTCCCAGGCAATGGTTTGATAGATTACAAGCTACTCTGCTGCAGTTTGGGTTCAAAGCTAGCAAATGTGATCCTTCTCTTTTCGTTTATCACATAAATAACAATATTGTCTATCTTTTGGTCTATGTAGATGATATTATTATCACTGGAAGTTCGTCTCAGTTTACTCAACACCTCATATGTCAACTCAATGCTATATTTTCTCTAAAACATCTTGGCAAGTTGGATTATTTTTTTGGGAATAGAAGTCAAACACCAGCCAAATGGTTCTATAGTTCTCACACAAAGCAAGTATATCTGTGATCTTCTTCAGAAAACTAACATGCTTGAAGCCAAACCAATTTCAACACCTATGGTTTCTACTTCCAAGCTGTCTAAGCATGGGTCTGATACATTGACTGATTCTACATTCTACAGGTCAGTTGTTGGAGCACTGCAATATGCTACAATAACCCGCCTTGAAATAAGTTTTGCTGTCAATAAAGTCTGTCAGTTTATGGCAAGTCCTCTTGAGAGTCATTGGAATGCAGTAAAAAGGATCTTAAGGTATCTTAAAGGTACACTATATCATGGGTTACACATTCAGGCTGCTGGGTCTCATCAAAAGTTTCAGCTACATGCATTCTGTGATGCTGATTGGGCTGCTGATCCTGATGACAGAAGATCAACGTCTGGGGCAGCTATCTTTTTTGGACCAAATTTAATTTCGTGGTGGTCTAGAAAACAACCTGTAGTTGCCAGATCAAGTACTGAAGCTGAATATCGAAGCCTGGCTCAAGCAACTGCTGAAGTGCTATGGATTGAAACTCTTCTTCATGAATTGGGAATTTCTTTCTCTGTTCCAGTTGTCTACTGTGACAATCAAAGCACAGTCTCTCTGGCTCACAATCCTGTTCTTCATTCTAGGACAAAACATATGGAAATCAACCTGTTTTTTGTTCGAGAAAAGGTTCTTGCCAAGCAACTCAGTGTTCAACATATTCCAGCTCAAGATCAGTGGGCTGATGCTCTCACAAAACCTTTGTCATCTGCCCGGTTTTTATTTTTGCGAGACAAACTCAAAGTTGTTGAGCTATCTTCTGCTGCTTACCCAACTTAGGTTTGTGAGGGGGTATGTGAGTGAACTGTAAAGAGAGCAGTTGCAAAACTGACTCTCGGGTGGTTAGTTTGTTATAGGTGTATTTGTCCTATAAATAAGTGGCTTTGCTCCACTAGATCAATATCAAGAATCAGTTACAATTTCATAAAGACTTTTCTGTTTCTCTTCTCTCTCTCTGTTTTTCTATATATAACAATTTACCTTGTACATAACCAATATCATTGTCCAACCAAGCATAAACGGATAGAACATCCCAGAGTTTTGCTTGATTAACTTCAGTCTCATAAAAGACAAGTGCTCGATCTGTTCGAACAACATCCAGACCTACAATGCAAAATAATCAATTGCCTCTACGGATGCTTGTTAGAACTTAGAACAAATAAATTATTAATAAACCAAAAGCAAACATTTTTTAAGGGAGAAATGACACTATAAATAAACTACAAACGAAAAGGAAAATTAACGGCATAATGACCTTGTAGTTTTGTAAACACAATGGAACAGATGCCATCACCATCACAAATCAGGAAGAACAAGGGATTCTGCCTTAATTTGGATTTATGCTATACAAAATTCAGGTTGTTATTCTGTTTCAATGACTTCTAAATTTATTAATTAGCAACATTTATGGAAGTATAAATTATATGGTATATAAGCAAGGATGGTGCATTTGCCATTACATATGAAATCCATTCCTTCTAAAAAAATTCTTAAATTTCTTTAAAGCTTAAACTATACGTTTAGGATATTTGTCTTCTTTGCAGAGAAAGTTTACTTGCTAACCAATTGAGTGAACTGAAAAGTACTAATAGAATCATGACCTTAAGCCCGCAAAAGAACACAACCCTACTTCTATGTCACTGATGATTGATCTATGAGACAATCTGTATTCATGAATCCCAAAATTACGGCACTAGCTTTTCAGTTCAGTTAAGCCCAATAAGCAAAACTTGTAGAACAAAACTAAAAGCAAACAGAATGGGAAAGTATCCAGTATTTAAACAGAAGCATATACATACCAATCTGATGTAATAACTGCATCCACTGCAAAACTTTCTTATCTGAAGTCTGGATGCCTACCAAAGAAGGATCTGTTGGCCGACCATCATCATCAAAGAGGGGTGTAGTAATAAATTTTCCAGTACCAATGACTGGGACCATCCTTTGACATTCAGCTTTCCACATATCATACTGCCCCCTGAGAACAATACATTTACTAAAGATTTCATATTTTGTTTATTTTCAATCAATACAAAGAAGGGGGAAAAAGGAAGAGAAGATTTAGGATTTACACCCTGAAAAATTAGAAACACCAATAGCACTTAAGAAAAATGTAAGCAAGAATATAGGAGGAAACATAGGAAGCCACCCAGTTTTGTTTTACTATAGTATAGATTCTTTGGGAGATAAAGCAGAGAGAAGTAATTTTCTTATTCATATATTGCGAGAACCAAGCCAAAAATTAATAGGAAGCATGGCATCCAAGAGGTAGCAATTTTGGTCAAACAATTCTGATTAGAATAATACAATCTGGATATTTGGCCAGTGATTATACCACAGTTCTGTAATGGCATTCAGTGGCAGGAATGGTGGTGATTAGTGAAAAAAAATGATAGGAAGCAGATGCAGTGGCAGTGGCAGCAGCAGCCAGCACGAAAGCACTGCAGGCAGTGCAACTGGAGTTTGGTGGAAGTGATGGATGATGGCTAAATACTGCCCACTTATTTGATTTGTTTTAACTTTCAAATACATTAGCTACGAAAAAAGTGATAACTTGGGGCTTCTTCACAAGTTAACAAAAACAGCGAAAAAGTATACCGATAACATCAATCATCTTAGAACCAACACCAATTGCAATCCTAATGAACAAATGCCTGAATTCAGAATACCAAAAATTTGTGAAGTATTGTTAATGTTCGTTTTCCTTTAATCCTGTAAATCTGATTTATTGATTTTATAGAAAAACGTTTAAATGAAAATGTACCTCCTGCGTTGCTTGAGCTCATTCCGTTCTTCAAGTGTACTGTTAGGATCATAGCAACCTAGCAAGAACTCCCAAACTTCTCCTTTGATTGAAGGATGGACACCCTAAATAATTTATAGAAATAAATAAGGCACAAATCAGGAGGAACAAAACTCGAACAATAAAATGATAATGAATTTAACTTTTTTGAAGTACATTGGAAGAAAAATATGAAACACATGAAATGGTTATCACAAATCACCATCTTATGGTGTATCCTTTCTAGAGAAAGAGTCTTTAAGGCATGTGAGAGGAGGGGGTAGGTAAGTGTCATCAACCAACTCTCCTAAACTTTTAGGTAAAAACACATGAATGATTTTATTCTTACGTGACATTTCAAACGTCTCCCCTCAAGCAAGAGCCTTTAGGGCTTGAAGCATAGATAAATTAAAATGCACTGGCCAGTTAAAAGAATGGTGACAACAAGGATTGAACTATAGACCATTAGTCATAGAGGTTCTAACAGTTGTTTTGTGGTTGATTATTTCAAAAGGTTAAAGTTTCACATTGCTTGATCTTAGATGTTTTCAAGCCTTTTTTATAAATCACCGTATTTTGAGCAAGAAACAAATAAGAGGCATGGGCTTGCGTATATGGGAACAGGCCAAGTTGACCTGCTGCCGTACAAGGCTGCCGATTTGCGCCTCTTCCTTATGCCCATGGTAATGGGCCTCACAATCATTTTGTTTTTGTATTAACTAATTTTCAGAAAATTAATTTTAAGTTTAAATTTATGCTTATCTGAAAATTGGATAAACCTTATTTGATTGTGATTTGGTGGCCAGACGTAGTTTTGAAAAGTTCAAAAATCTTATCTAAAACAAGTTTATTTTAAATTTTTTATTAATTGATCATCAGAAAAAACCTTATTTTCCAAATATACATATTAAATGTTTTCAGTAAAAACCACATATCTCCCTCTCTCACCTTTCCCTTTTTCTCTATGAGTTGCTGGGTTCAAATAAAAACACATACTCGCGCATTGCCTCAACATAGTCTAGATGAACCTATTAAATCTTGGGAGACTTGCACACCACCTGAATTAGTCCTTATGTACAATACGAAATCACATGTCTCAAGCTACTTCTAATTTTTGTTTGAGACAAATTGAGTTTGTGGGTGTGTGATCAGTTTGCCGTTCATGATACTAGACTACTACAACAACACAACACTAATAACATGGCATAGACCAACTCTCTGAAACGTTTAAACTATTGAGTTAAGACAAATTAATGGTTTTATACTTTACTAACATTTCTAACTAGAAGTTTACATAATATTTGCTACAGTCTACAAACTATAGGGAAAGGATCACCATGTAGTTGAACACTTGTTCTCAGAGTGATTGCAAATCTGAAAACATAGAAAGACAGACACACGGGAAGGAAACCAAAAGAAATACCATTTATTACTTATTAATAGTTATTGATGGATTCAGCAATGTAATTGTAAGTGTGTGCGTGCAAGTAAACAATAAAGGCTACCCCTCGCTGAATTCGTCTTAGCACTTTTGCAATATCCAAGTGACCATCTTCAGAGAATGATGCATGCCATCTTCTTTGACTTAGAGTTTTGCCAGCCTGTTGAAACAGATAATGCAGTGTGTAAATCACAAGACTTACTTTTCTCCTTTTATATATAATAACATTCATTAAAAACCATTGATGCCGTATGCATAGAAGATACATAAAGCTCAAATTTCAATCCTGTAATAGTATCAAAGAGTTGCTTATCACATTCGAAGGGGGTACAAGTGCAGAATCATTCCAAATAGGGTTAAATGAATTGATGTGCATTAGTGATGAAAATAAAATGACCAAACAACAAGACGGGATAAGAAAGGATTAGTTGAGAAGCAAAAGCTCACCCTTGGTTTAAAACGAGTGGCTGGAACATCGGCTACGCATTCTGGTTTAATGGGGTAAAAGGTATTCAACTCAGTAGCTCCACCACTCTTCATAAGAACCCTCCTCAGTCACTCACAAAAAATCATTAACTAATCCCAAGCTCTTCAATTCCAACAAGTCCCTTACTAGAGACCCATCACACCATCAATTTCTGCACATTGAAGAAACTCAACCCATCAAACAAAATTTGATTTTTTTTTTCTTAAACGTAGGGGAAAAAAACAAAATGGGAAATTTCACTGGCAACGGCATCTTTCGATGAATACAACTAAGTTAGTTTCCTTAAAGTTGCCAATTGTCGAAAAAAAACAAAAAACAAAAAACAAAAAGGCACGTATCAAATCGTTGTTAGGAAATACCGATAATAAGGAAAACGTAATCTTAATCGGATTCAGCACGTTAAAGGAGGAGGTGAAAACCCCATTTGTGGAAATATTTTTGAAGCAAATATGAAATCTGGGGTGAGGAAAAGGAAGTACCTTAGCGATTTGGGAAGTGATTAATGAACGCGCAGAGGTGAAGGCTGTGGAATAATTTGTGAAAGATGAAATTGAATGAAAGAAAGAAAGAATGTGTCGCAGAGAAGGAAGGAGAGAGATGGTAGGCAATGAGTGTTGAATAGGATAATTCGCTGAATGAAAAATGGTCGTTGACGAGGAAAGGGAAGAGAAGACTATATATATATATACATTCATGTTCTGTTCTCAACGGTTATTTGAACATTTTAACCTTTGTTGGCACATATTCATTATTATCAAGGTATATTTGGTTATTTTTGTTTAATAACATTCCTGATT